TTTGCCTCATTTGTGCATCAGCACAACATCAAACTTCACAGTGCAAGAAGCGTTTGTGCTTCAAGTGCCAGGGGGCACATCACACGTCGTGCTGCTTTAAGGCCACAACAACCCAACAAGGGAGAAGCTGGTCTAACAATAAACAGCCGAAAGAAGAAACTAAAAGAACAAGACCTCAGCGAGAGGTTAACATAGTGGGTTCAGAAGGAGCGGAAACAAGAGAAACCGCTATACTTCAAGTCAACTCAGCATTCCAGAAGTTGGAAGAAACATTTCTTCCCACAGGTGAATTAACCGTCCTGGACCCAAAGACCAACGCTTTGAGAAAAATAGCGGTATTGTTGGACACAGGAGCCGAAATCTCATTTATAGACAGCACACTAGCTCAGGAACTGCAACTTCCAATAACAGGAAAAACCAAGTTGCACCTTCACACTTTCGGTTCCAACGAAGTATCTGTGAAGGACTGCCGGCAAGTGAAACTGGATGTTTGGGATGATGAGGGACAACAATGCTCATTGAGTCTTCTCACGCATGATATTCTGACGAAGGCGTGCACAACACCAGAACTTCAAGATGAGGACATCCAGTTTATCAAACAACGAGGCCTAGTTATTAATCATCCCAAACAGTCGGTGAAGCCAAAGATTCTTCTGGGTGCTGACCAACTCTGGCCATTTATACGGCCTAACGCAAGCCATATTCGCCTTCCTTCCGGATTGTACCTGCTGTCAACAAGGATGGGATTTCTGCTCACAGGACAGCCAAAAGGACCATCAACGATAAAGACAAAACTAGAGCAGGAAGAGGACAGGTGGAATGGATACTGGAGCTTAGAAGCCCAGGTAAACACCATCGAGACAGTGACAGAGGAGGAGAAACAAAATGAACAAGATCTTTGGGAGCAATTTTGGAAACTGGATGCAGCCGGAACAGAAGAATTCGGAAAGGCGGAAAAAACACAGCAAGCAATTGTTGATCAGCAAGTGTGGGAGGACTTCAAAAGAACCGTAGAAAAGCGGCAGGACGGTTACTATGTGCGACTGCCCTGGAAAGACTTCCAGGTAGACTTACCAGATAACAAGGCAATCGCATATAGGAGACTGACAAGTTTGTGGAAGTCATTGCAGAAAGAGGAAAAACTACTAGACCAGTACAACGAAGTTTTCCAAGAACAGCTTCGTCTGAATATACTGGAGAAAGTTAAAGGGGAATCGCAGCCAGGGACTCGAGTCCACTACATCCCACATCAGGCTGTGATAACGCCTCACAAGTCAACGACCAAACTACGTGTCGTTTACGACGCCTCAGCTCACTACAAAGGGTCCCCTTCATTGAATGATGTTCTTCATCGAGGACCAGTGATCCTACCGCTTCTCTACGGAATTCTGTTACGATTTCGAATCGGACAGATCGCAATGATATCTGACGTGGAAAAGGCATTTCTGCAAGTGCGACTTCACGAAGAAGATCGCGACGCCACAAGGTGTCTTTGGTTGAAGAACCACAGGCAAGCACCAAGTCCGAATAACGTCCAAACTCTTCGCTTCACTCGAGTAACCTTTGGGCTTATGCCTTCTCCATTCCTCCTAGCCGCAACAACACACTATCACCTAGATCAGTATAAGGATACCAAGTTGGTGAAGGAAATGAAAGAGAATCTGTACGTAGACAACCTCATCCTATGTACAGATCAGACAGAAGGGGCGATCAAGTTGTACCATACCACTAAAGGAATGTTTCAGGACTTAAAAATGAATCTACGGGAGTTTGTCTCCAACGATAAGGAAACAATGCAAGCAATTGCTTGCAAGGACAAGTCTCCAGAACTAGCGCCAAAAGTGTTGGGAATAAAATGGGATTCGGTAAAAGATGCATTTGCAATTACCTGCCGGATGAAAAAAGGCACCAACACTACGAAACGTACTGTCGCAAGTACCATAGCTTCCGTCTACGATCCAATGGGTTATCTGACACCACTGCTTCACAAAGCAAAAGTCTTTCTTCGCTCTTTGTGGCAACAGAGTTTTGACTGGGATACCAGTCTGCCCAAAAAACTGACTGACGAATGGGAACAAATTACCCAAGACGCAGATGGATTTGAGAAGTCAATTTCTCGGTGCTTATGTCCAAAAGAGACCGAGCATGAAATAATCGCATTTGCGGACGCAAGTTCAGAGGCAATCTCGACATGCATTTACCTGCGCTCCAAGGATCAAGCAAGTCTGCTCATTGCAAAAGGCAAGCTACCAACTCTCAAGTCTACAATCACAATGCCAAAGATGGAACTTAATGCAGTCACACTTGCCATGAGAGTTGCAAACTCAACAATTACGCAACTACAATCTGTCGTCAAGTTAACACATCTGGTTGTGCTATCAGACTCAGAGATCGCCCTCCAGTGGATCAAATCGAAACCACAGAAGGGAGTAGGAAAGATGATCACCAGCAGACTCACGGAGATCAACAAAATTGTGAACCACATAGAGGAATCAGGATGTCAAGTATGGTTTGCTCACGTAGCCTCATCAGAGAATCCGGCAGACTGTGCCACTCGAGGCTTATCCAAAGCGGAATTGCTCAACCACTTTTGGTGGACTGGACCGTCATTTCTGCGGGAGAATCCAAAAGAATGGAAGAGCATTACGTTCTTCCAGCAAAAAACGTCGGGTGAAGATGAGGACGAATCAATGTTTATGACAAGTGTAAATGTACAGCAGACTACTCCAGATCCACTTGACCGCTTGAAGAAGTATCCGCTCACAACGATCAAACGCATTGAAGCATATGTATTACGATACATCAGGATCTTGGTGGCAAGGGTAAACAAGAGACGAACTGTTCCAATAGTTTTATCAAGTTGGCTGAATCCGGAGGTTATGCATGAGGGGATAGAATTAAATGGATCCGAGATTGCCGTGGCAGCTAAAGCGGTAATCAAACAACACCAAAAATTGATCACTCAAGAAATGAGGCGATCAATGCATCATTTGAATATCAGGAAAGACGGAGAAGGCCTCTTTCGCTGCTACGGAAGATTGGGTAGAAGCAAGATGAATCAGAATGCAAAACAACCGCTGATCATCCTTCAAAACACATGGCTAGCCGAAACCATAATACGGGAAAACCATAACAAAGGTCACGCAAGTATCAACCATACAATTTCCCTCGTCAGACAAAACTACTGGATTCCGAAACTACGAG